TTGACCAACTTTCTCATGCATATTTACATACAAACAGGCCCCAAATTAAATCCCAAGCTCCAATACGTTAAGAAGCAAACTCATGATGAACAACCTTGTTGCCACCTCTGAAAGAGAAACTAAATTTAATATTCAAACCAGTTTTATTCAGCAAATGCCAAACAGCAGAAGCATTAAAAGATTTGACTGAAAAAGCATTAACCACAGTTTGGGAATCACTTTCTGTAATCAAGTTTGAGAACCCAAAGTCCATAGCTTAGAGAAAAAAAAATATATTGTACAGATATGGTATGGCAAGGACCACGGCCATTCTTGGCTAGCAAAAAACTTCTAATGAAGTTTTGCTTTGACAGTTCCTGGCTTTAGAGGATGCCAGAAGTAGGTCCATCCGTCCATCTTGCTTACTACTAGTTTGGAAAAAAAAGTATAAATATAAATATGACATAAAATACAGTCTAATTTGTTGTAAAAGTTAAATCAGTTTTTTTTTTTTTTTTTTTGCAAAAGTTTCATGAAAAGTGGGCCTACTAATTATTTATTTAGTTAGTTAGTTAGATGGGCTAATTGACATGTGGTCGGACGCTCTCATTTTTGAAAAGACAAAAAAAAAAAAAAACCTGAAATTGAGGAACGAGCACATTTGCACATCCCATAATCACATTCACTTATCAGGTAGGGTTTGTAATTAATTGCTTTTATGCATATAGATGAACAAACAAAAATGAAAGGTTTTTATTTCAGTCCATCTCATAAAGTTTTATTGGTTTGTACAGTTGGAACAGTAAGAGATGGGGAAATGAATCAAATAGTGAATCATAGATGGAGGTAGTGATAAATAAAACCCAGAAATCAATAAAAATTTCTGATGTAGACTGAACCATAAATTTCTCAAGAATATAATTTAAGCTTGTGCATGCTTAAAGAGAAGGCAATAAAGTAGTTGACTTTAAACCACTGTGGGCTAAGAAATTACTGTTGAGAGGTCAAGTTCATGAATATATGTGAACAAAATGACCATTGAGGATGCTTGGGGGTCATTCTATCCTTCATGTTGTTTAGTGTCTCCTTGGGGTCATACTTTTGAATAAAATAATATTTCTTCTCCTTTCTAAGACACTAATCGCCCCTGTTTCACTTTTAAATCAAATTGAACAAAATGCCATTCTGTCTTATCCAATAATTTCTATCCTCAAGTTTTGTAAAAGGCATCCAAGTTTGAATTACGTGCCCACCTTTGATTAGGCCTATATTTTATAAGTGACATGTTTAGAGGATGAGCTTCAATATAAATGGTTTTCAATTTTGTTTTTTTTTTTATGACAAGCTATTAATAATTTGGCTATACTAAAAAAAATAAAGGGTATTGCACAACTTGATTAATTGATTTTGCTTTTGAAAACAAAAGTAATTATTGCATTAACAAAAAAACAGAAAATTTTGTTGATGTGGCAATTGCTTTTATTTGTAAAAATAAAAGTAGAGCATTTTTGTGTCAGATTATTAAAATGTCCAAAACTATATGATTTGTATTGTTGATATTTATAAGGGCACTCTTGACATTTATCCCATTCGGCTAAAGTTAGCAATAGAATCAATCAATAAGCGATTTTTAAGGATTAAGAAACAACTGAGAGGAGGTTTTAGTATTTGTCAAAAATTTTAGATTCTAATGTGGGTATAATTGGTCACTTCACCAGATGATGACACGTGGTGCTATCCAAGGGCAATTTCATCACTCTGACCACGACTAAGGGCATTATTGTAACTTTTCTAAATCATTGCTATGGTACTACAAGTGTTACGTTCTCGGATGAACCCACTCTCAGCACATTTATGGTGGGGTAATGCTCCGACCGTTGTCTCTATAACAGTTGTATTCATGATCGAGATTCATGAATACAACTACTAGGTGACTGATTGCCTATTACTTCTCTCCTAGGTGATTCCAGCTATAAAAGGATATTGAAGCCTGAGGTAGTATTATCATGCACACTTGAGTTCTCTACTCTATTCCCTTGTTGTGACATTGACTTATCTTTAGCCCTCAGTTAACTTGACCATTGGAGTCTTTGTCCCTGAGACACTTTGAGAAACTACAGTCGAAGGAAGATGAGAAACTACAGTCGAAGGAAGATCTTTCTTTCTATATTGTTCCAGCAAACGATTGCTGAGAATTTATATACAGAGCAGAGTTCGGCTCACCACTAGGAATGTAATTACAGTCTCCTAAAAGAATAATGAAAAACAAAACCAAGAACAACTAAAACATACGAGAGATAAGGATAAGGTTTATAGAGGATAAGGCAATTCTAAGATAAAGCGATTCTAAGATAAGGCTCGCTTGCTCACTTAATACCCCCCTCAAGTTGGAGCATGTAAACGGGAAATGCCCAAGTTGGCAAGATGTTCGAATTGTTTCCTGCCCAGGGCCTTTGTAAACATATCAGCAAGTTGCTCTGAAGTTCGGATGTAGGAAGGCCGTATATTCCCATTCTGGATTTCACCGCGGACAAAGTGACAGTCTACTTCAATGTGTTTAGTCCTCTCATGGAAGACCGGATTCGCAGCGATATGCAAGGCTGCTTGACTATCACAGTATAGCTGCATAGGGTCAGGATGATCAACTCCTAATGAATGCAACAACCCTTTTAACCATTTCAATTCACATGCAGCTGTTGCCATAGACCTGTATTCTGCCTCAGCTGATGATCTGGACACTGTAAGTTGCTTCTTTGTCTTCCACGATATAGGTGCTCGGCCCAATAAAACAAAGTATTCTGTGAGAGAGCGTCGTGTCAGTGGACACCCGGCCCAGTCAGAGTCACAGTAGGCATACAATCGAAGATCACTATCAGCTGGAAAGAAAATTCCCTATCCCGGGTCACCTTTCAAATATCGCACCACACACAAAGCCGCCTCCCAGTGTTCTTCACGGGGGTTCTGCATAAATTGAGCGAGCACATGCACACAATAGGACAATCTAGGACGGGTAATGGTCAAGTAAATTAAATGACCCACTAGCCTCCTATAACTCTTCGGCTTTATCATCAGAGGACCATCTGCCAAAGCTAGTTTATGATTTTGTTCTAGGGGAAGTCCAGCTGGCTTAGCGCCTAACAAACCAGTTTTTGATATGATATCCAACGCGTACTTCCGCTGACAAAGAAAAATACCTTTCTATCTTCTGGCGACCTCCACTCCTAAAAAGTATTTCAAAGTTCCCAAGTCCTTCATGTGGAAGCATTGGCTGAGATACTTCTTGAATCTCAAAATGGCACTGCCGTTATTTCCAGAGATGAYAAGATCGTCCACGTAAACCAAAATATTTAACTATTCGTGCTTCCGTCAAAGCGTAAACAATGAGTAATCAGATTGTGACTGGGTAAAGCCATACTGTTTCAAGGCTGTCGTGAGTTTAGCAAACCAGCAACGAGGGGCCTGTTTCAAACCATAAAGCGACTTGTGCAACTTGCACACCTTTCCAGGTAGTCTTGAAGCAAATACAGGAGGCATCTTCATATACACTTCTTCTTGCAGATCTCCATGGAGAAATGCGTTCTACACGTCCATCTGATGCAGTTCCCAGTTTCTAGCCACAACAACTGCAAGGAATGTCCGAACTGTAACCATCTTTGCCACAGGCGCAAACGTTTCATTGTAGTCAATCCCTTCAACCTGTTTGTTTCCGAAGATCACCAAACACGCCTTGTACCGCTCTATTGTGCCATCTGAGTTGTACTTGATCTTGTAGACCCATTTACTTCCGAGAGCCTTCTTCCCTGGCAGCAAGTCCACCACTGTCCAGGTTCTATTGTTTTCTAAAGCTTCAATTTCCTTTCTCATTGCCTCTCTCCAACGAGAGTCCTTGATAGCCTCTGAATAACTCTGGGGCTCATGACTAGCTGTGACAGCTGCTAAGAAAGAGCGGTGTCGCAAAGAAAATTTATCACAATTCACATACTGTGTTATAGGATAGGGAGTACCTGAGGAGTGTGATTGGCGAGATGAACTGGCAGAGGGGCTCAGACTATGGTTGGAACACCATGTGTGTATGACGTAGTCCTTGAGATGACTGGAAGGATGCTTCATTCTATGGCCTCATCCAAGTTGCTCATTCCCTGCATTTGTTTCTTCCACAGAGCCCCCCCTTACATCATGCTCCCCTTCATTATTTTCACACCTGTCACTTTGTTCTACCTCTCTTTTACTTTTACTATCTTCCTCGTCATACACTTCAGTTTCCACCTGGTTATATTCAAGATTACCATCATTGTGTCCGTGTTCGACTTGTTTTTCTTCAATAGCATAGGGAAACTTAGTTTCTGAAAACACCACATCCCTGGAAACAAAATATTCATTGGTTTCTAAGTCATAAACTCTCCACCCCTTCTTCCTAAAGGGGTATCCCACAAAGACACAACGTTTGGCTCTACTGGCAAATTTATCCCTGGTACGATTTAGGCTTCACGCATAACACAAACACCCAAACGTTCGTATATGTTTGTAGCTTGGTTTCTGCCCATACAACATCTCATACAGTGATTTTCCCAAAAGGAGAGTGGAGGGGGTCTTGTTGATCAGATAACCGGCCGTCATAACACACTCTCCCCAAAACTCAATAGGGAGATTAGCCTAAAATCTAAGGGCTCTGGCAACATTCAATATATGTCTATGCTTTCTCTCGACACGTTCATTCTGTTGTAGTGTTTCAACACATGAGGTATGATGTATTATACCTTGCTCAGAAAAATATTCCTTCAAGCAAGTAAATTCAGTACCATTATCGCTTATAACTATCTTCACCAATTTTTCATTTTGGCGTTTAACCATAGTGAAGAAGTTCCGCAGCGTTTTGCCCACTTCACTTTTGTCATTAAGTAAGAAAATCCAAACAGCTCGCGAGAAATCGTCAACAATAGTCAAAAAATACGAGGCACCACAAGACGCCCGTACAGAGTACGAACCCCATAAATCACAATGAATCAAATCGAAAGTCCCTTTAGCATTATTTTCACTAGAATCAAACGTACCTCTTGTCTGTTTGGCTTTTGAACAAACACCACAAATCCAATTTTCATTACCACATCTAATGTTCAAATTAGGAAGAAGTTAAATTACTTTCTCGGAGGGATGACCCATTCTCTTGTGCCATAACTCGTATGAAGCTTCAACCTCTGCTTTATGAACCTTGCTTGAGTATGCACCTTTGAAGCAGTAGAGCCCTCCGCGTAGTTCACCCRCACCAATCACCATCCTCGAAGTGCGGTCCTGTATAACACAAAACTTAATAGTGAATTGGATATTATAATTCGATTCCTCTAATAATTGCGACACAGATATCAGGTTACAATTCAAATGAGGAACATAAAGCACATTAGTAAGCTTCATGTGTTTATTTAAAATGATGGTCCCTTTCTTTATTGCCATGACATGCTTTCCATCGGGCAATCCAACCTGACAACCAGTCACGGTCTCGGTATCATGCAAGTGATCCAAGTTCCCGGTCATATGGTGTGAGGCTCCTGTATCAATTATCCAATTCATACCTGTCAACTTCTCACTTGTGCTGGGTTTGCAAGAATTCAAGAGATTAAGAAAAGTGGACCACTGTTCATTAGTCAATCCACCGAATGTTGTACGATCTCCTTCTGTCGCGTGGATTGGTTCAGAAGTTTGCCCTACCGCTTACGCAACATTTGCTCTCTGTACGCCTCCACGTCCACGACCAGTTTTGCCTTGTGTTCCTCGGCCTCGAGCTTTCCCACTTCCAGTAGATCTCGGCCGGTCCCCCCACTAGTTCGGATAGCCGATGAGTTGAAAGTAACTCTCAGCCTCATGTCTTGTTCGTCCGCAATTTGTGCACACTCCAGATTTCTCTTTTGTGTCGTGTCCCGTTCTTTTTGTGCCACCTTGTGCTTGTGCAACAAATCTCATCGCCTCTCTTTTTTCTTCTTTGCCGCGGGTCACGGTTCTCAGCCACTCCTCTTGTATCACCATAGCATAGGCTTTGTTCAAGTTTGGTAGCGRATCAATGCCTAGAATATTGGAACGCACTGTTCAATATACTGTGTCATCTAAGCCCATTAGAAACTGATGGACTCTTTCTTCTTCTCGTCTCTTCTCCAGCTTTGCAGCAATATTACAGTTGCAGCCTGCACAGACGCATGCCAGAATTTGCTCGTAATTAGCATGTTCTTCCCAGATTTGTTTTAGTTTTCCATAATATGTCACGATTGGGGGACCAACTTGTTTGCTGTTCGCGAGATCTGCCTTGAGTTGCTGAACTCTTGGCCCATTGCCTACTGAAAACCGTTCTTTGATGTCATCCCATTGATCCTTCACGACTTCCATATACGTGATCGTAGAACGCAGGCTCGGTTCTATCGTGTTGAGGATCTAGGAAACCAGCATCGAGTTTACAGTCCACCAATCTTCCAATTTTGGTGAATCATCTGTGGGCTGAGATATAGTCCCATCGAGAAATCCGATCTTCTTCTTGGCTCGGAGCGCCATCCGCATTGCTCGAGCCCATTCTTCGTAGTTATCTCCTTTCAATTGAACTTGGGTAATTATATTACCCAGGTTGTCGTTGGCAGTCAAGTAGTATGGTGAGACTACCTTTTTGCTTCCGCCCTCACCTTCATTCTGTTTCTCTCTTCTATCCGCCATGATCGATCAGTCAAAGCAAGGTTTCTCAGTTTTCTTCTTGGTTTCAGCGAAGAACAGATACCATCTTTGACAAATGGAAGTAAAGAGAGTTCTGCACAATCCTTGGAGATCTGTTCCACGAACAGAGATCAGGAATGATCGAAATATGCAAACTTAGAATGCTGTGATCTGCTCCACGAACAGAGATCAGGAATGATCGAAATCTGCAAACTCAGAATGTTGTGATCTGCTCCACGAACAGAGATCAGGAATGATCGAAATCTGCAAACTCAGAAGCTGTGCGACGGTCGAATGTTCCGTGCTCTGATACCATGAGAAACTACAGTCGAAGGAAGATCTTTCTTTCTATATTGTTCCAGCAAACGATTGCTGGGAATTTATATACAGAGCAAAGTTCGGCTCACCATTAGGAATGTAATTATAGTCTGCTAAAAGAATAATGAAAAACAAAACCAAGAACAACTAAAACATACAAGAGATAAGGATAAGGTTTACAAAGGATAAAGGCGATTCTAAGATAAGGCTCGTTTGCTCGTTTTCTCGCTTAATACACTCCTGAGGCCTTTGACGTCTTTTCACTCTTTATAGGTGGGACCCTCAGCTCCAGAATTGGCAATAACAGATTCTTAGGAGAGGTGAGGGCCAAGTGAGCATTGTTTTTCACACGAGTCCTATGCAAGCCAACTCCAGCCAACTTACTACAAATTGATACAAGAAAGAGAGGAAGAATAATGCTTTTGGGCCCAAGACTATCTAACATCGCAATTGTTGGCATTTCTTGTTTTAATGACTTATCTCCTTTTTACAATTAAAATGTCCTTATGGACACTCAGTTTTTAAATGTAAAAAAGGAGATAAATCTATATCTATACTACTATAAAAAGTAYGGATAACCTCTAAAATTTTTGGATTTTTTAACTGAAATACCCCATTTTCTAAAATATGATCCTTTTATTTGTGAGGGTAGAAAATKTAATTTGAATGCTATTATTCAATGCATTCAATTCCCTCTCATTAAATCACACATTTAGGTATTAACTCTCATTCACTCTCATTAAATCATATATTTAAAACATTTCATTTATTCTCATCACTAAATTCCACTAATTAAATCCATACATAATAAATTAATAAATTCAATAAAATATAAACTTATACTTTTAAAATCTACATGAAAAAAAATGTTTTCATCTTGGTGGTGGTAATAAATTAAACCATTTTGGGTCAAATGGGTCAATTCATGTTACCACAATTAAATAATAGATAAAATACAAAAAGGTATAAAAATTAAGGAAATTTTTGGAACAGTTTTAACATCAAATATTTGATAAATAATAATAAGTATGATAAATAAGAAATATTTTTATTAATGATGGAAATGGAATACAAAATTTAAAACCAATTTGAAATAAAACTATTTTCTTATTCTCTCTCATTAAATGTCATATCCAAGTTATATTCTTTCATTAAATCCTATATTGAAGATATATTTTTCTCATCATTAAATTTCACTAATTAAAGCCACAACATTAATTTTATTGCTATAAAAATAAATATTTTGAAAACAAAACATATTCCTTCCTTTCTAGTGGTGGGTAAGAAACTCAACCATTGGGTTAAATGAGCTAACCAATAATTTCATAATTTAATACTAAAAATTAAAATAAATAATATATAATATAGAAAACAAAAAGAATTAAGCATATTTATAACATTGTGTATTCACTATACTAAACAAAAATAAGTATGAAATATAAGAAGTAATTTTATTAGTGATGAAAATGGAATGTCAAATCCACAATCAACCTAAAAATGAAATGATGTTATAGTCAGTTAATAAAATTTTTAAAAATAGAAAATATAAATAATCACAAAAATGAAAAAAAACTAGAAAAAATATTGGGCACATATCTAATGTTATATATTTATAAAAAATAAAATATTGGGTACATCTATAATACATTCATTATATTAAACAAAAATAACTATTATACATACGAATTAATTTTATCAATGATGTAAATGTAATACAAAATTTAAAGTCAACTTAAATTATTATCCTTTTTGGGTGGTGGGTTATTGGATGGGTTAAAATTTAACAACAACAACAACAATAATAATAATAATAATTGTTATTATAATTTAAAATTTTCATGTGCAACCCACATGAAGTTGGATTTTTTGTGTATATTTACTTTTTATTTTATATTATATACATACATCCCATTCTCTCTTATTAAATCCCATATTTAGGTTATTTTTTTCACTAATAAATGCTACTAATTAGATCTATGTCCAATATTTGTAACAACATAAACCCATATATTTTAAAGCTTGCTTAATAACAAAACCATTCTTTATCCAAGTGATGACTAAGCAATTCAAYTATTCGAATCAAATTGGCAATCCATGAAATCATAGTTATATATTAAAATTTATAAATATAAATAAATATGTAAAATTTTAAAAAATATAGAAAAAATAGATATAATTGTGATATTTTTTATTAATCAAATGTAAAAAGAAAACAAGTGTAGTAAAAAAGAAATATTTTTATTGATGATGAAAATGAAATTATTTTCCTATTTAGAAGAGATCAATAGTTCAATTGTTGGGTTGAATCTATCAACCTTTAATTTCATAATTAAATAATAAAACTTAATAAAATATAAAAAGAAAACACAAAAACAAAAAATATATAAATTTTACAAAAAAAAAACATTTGGGTACATGCATTATATCGTATATTTATCATATTAAATAAAAATAAGCATACATAACAATATTATTTTTACRCACATAGAAATAAAAAAAATACAGAAAAAATTGAATACATTTATAATTCTAAATTTACACTACTATTAAAAATATGAATAAGATTGTAAAACTTTCTTTTGACTAAAATACCCATTTTTGAATTTAATCACTATTTAATTGTGAGGTTTAAAATGTAGTTTGAACTACAAATTTTACCCCATTCAATTCCCTCTCTTTAAATCTTACATTTTTTTAATAAATGAACATAAAAAGTACATTAAGAAGACAAAACATTACAAAAAGAAGAGTCCAGCCAAGTGAGTAGGCCTGTCAATGATACGTGAAACTTTATAGCCCAATATGAGGTGCTTACGTAATTAGATTCAGATTTTGCAATTTGCATCCGATTAATAGTGAAAACAAAAAAAATAAATATACATGAATTTTATAGAAAATTTTGGATACATTATTCCTATCATTATCATCATCAAGAATTTCCACGTGCAAAGCACATTCACACTTACTAGTCTTTAAAATAAGGAATGCCAAATGCAACTTAAGCCACATGGAGTGGCTACACAATTGTCTGAAGGTAGAAGACAATGAGCACTATCTATTCTGTTTAATCTAAAGGTAAAGGACAGTAGATGGTCTAGGTCTTTATTTTTTGAGAATTCGTTGATTTTAGGTTTCCTGAACAATTGTTGTTTATATGAATTGAGTTTCCTCTATATAGTGCGAAGGGTAAGGCTTCACACCCCCCCCTCCAAGGTTTTTTGCATATGAATAAAGCTTCGGTGGCCACCCCTCCATCAAGAGTAAACTTGGGGTTAAAAAAAAATAATAAAAAAAATAAAAAAATAAAAGTTTTAAATTGGACATGTCATGGAGTGATGTAAATAACTGATAGATTGCTAATAACAAGGACTAAGTTAATAGTTTTTGAAAAGTATGCAATGGCACGTTTTGAAATTTAGGAAAGTGAAACTACCCCTAAATTGTAGGGTATTAATCTGAAAATTTCCCCTTATTTTATTATATATATATTTATTTATTTATCCATTCAGCTTTTTCAAAACAGTTGAATTGCTCAACTAACCAACCAAGGGCTGACTCATTGGTGTATTAGCTARTTAGTCCCACGTTGACRCAGAATCTAATCCCGCAACCAGCACTTTGAAAAAAAAAGTCAAWGGAAAGTTATTTAAAAATTTCTTGATAGGTACCCTGTGCTTTAGGTCGATTGCTAATTTAGTACATGAACTTTAAATTGCAACAATCAAGTACCCGAACTTTCAGTTTGTGACAATTTAAGTACCCTACGTTAAATTACCGTCAGCTAGAAGACTCACGTGATATCATGTGCAGGTTAAAAATTTTGAAATACCAAAACTAACATTTGCAAAAACATATGGACCATTTTACCCTGTATCCTTCCTATTTCCCTAATCCCCTTTTATCTTCATTATGGGTTGAACGAATGAAAGAGGAGAGAAGAGTTCACTCAACTCTAGCCTTCCTCTTCACTTCGAGCACGACAAAGAAAAGGTGGTAAGCTTCTCCCCCAAAATCTCTAGAACCGCACACAGATCTGATGGGAATTTTCATACGGACTCCACTCTAGAACCGTGCACAGATCTGAACCATTTCATACGATGAAGAAAGGTGGTTCTCTTATCTGAACCATTTTCAGATCTAAAAATGTTTCGGCGAACAATTGTATGTGAAAAGAGCACACAAAGTGAAAATGGATTGTTTTTTCCACCAAAATGATAGATTACGAAATTTCAGAAGATCGGAGGTGGAAATTCTTCTTCATCTTGTTCTTAAGAAATTTGGGTTGAAGTGGCCCCGCATTTTTGAAACTAGTAGAGATTGAAAACGCAGATCTATGCGCCTGCCAAAATTTTCTCCAATTTAATAGAAAAAAGTCCAATCGAGATGAAGCAAAACACTTCGGATTTGTCCAAAAAAGCTTGAATAAGAAGAATAAAGAAGATTGAAACTAGGAGACTTTGAACTTCAAGTTTGAATTTGGATGGAGGAGAAGTAAAGAACTCGATATCTAACCAGAATGAAAATAAAAATTACTAAAAGAAATGAAGAACCTTACCGGGTAGACTTATCGATGGCTCTAAGACAAAGCAGAAGAAGAAAGACGTTCAGTAACCCGAGCAATGAAATCGCCAGAAACAGAGGGATCATCAGAATCGTAGAGGGTATCAACGAGATCAATGGCCTGATGAGCGATCGACYCGTGTCCATAGCTAAAGCAATGAAAAACATTAAAAAAATCTTGCATTAAAATCTCAGTAACCCACTTGCAGAGAAATCAAGGAGAAGTCGATGTTAAAAAAATGCATAGAAAATGATAGAAAACAATACCAAATAAACATATACCCTGGTTGTCTCTTCCGGCATCGGCAACGACTGAGTAAAAAGGTGGTTGCAATAATGTTCAACGACAGGCAACAAGTGTCATCTTCTCCGGCAATGGTACTGGATTGACTTCATCTTTTCCGACGTCGTGTTCGATCGTTGAAATCAACTTTTCTAGTAACGCATTCGTTTAACATCACCGGCGTGAGGGAGCTGGCTTTTGGAATAACTGGGGGTATTATTCGAAATAACTGGGGGTATTTAGGACATTTTATCTTCTAACTCCAGATGCTAAATTGTCGCGCAAACTGAAAGATTGCTTAACCGAAAACTTATCTTCAGCTTCAGCCCCCCCAACGAGTTCCTACGTGTCTCTTCAGTCTAAGGGAGGGAGGGAGAGAACCAATTCTTTGGAATCACGTGGACGGTGCAGATATTACAGGCCACCAATCTTCATGGTAGGTACCGAAGATCACCTGGAACTGTAGCGATGATTCCAAGAAATTTGTTGATTTGGTCTCTCCCACGTGACACGGGTGACACTCTGCTTAATCTCCTCCTTTCAAGCTTCCAAGAAAATTATCTGAAGTCTCCCTCTCTCTCTGGCTCACTCGGTCGCTCACTCCCTCTTTCCTCTTCCAATTTCTCTCTCAGAGAAACCACCACGGCAATGGCAGTAACAGCTTCACTAACAATGACAAGACTGTTATCCGCACCCAGAGCCCTCTCTCTCTCCTCCGTCGCTCATCTCCCGCCCAAAACCCTTTCTTCCAATCTCTCATTCTTTGCCTCTCTCCCCCTCAGGTTCCGACCGACGTCTCTTCGCTTCTCCACCACCACTAACCCCAAACCTACCATCTCAGCCACCATCTCCGTCGGCGACAAGCTACCGGAGTCCACCTTCTCTTACTTCGACTCCTCCGATGAGCTCCAGACCGTCACCATCTCCGACCTCACCAAGGGCAAGAAATCCATTTTATTTGCCGTCCCTGGCGCTTTTACTCCCACTTGTTCTCAGAAGCACCTACCAGGTTTCGTTGAGAAGTCCGCCGAGTTGAAGGCCAAGGGCGTCGACACCATCGCCTGCATTTCGGTGAACGATGCCTTCGTTATGAAAGCCTGGAAGAAAGACTTGAAGATCGGTGATGAGGTGTTGTTGCTGTCCGATGGGAATGGAGATTTCACGAAGGCGATTGGGGTCGAGCTTGACCTGAGCGATAAGCCGGTTGGATTGGGTGTTCGGTCGAGGCGGTATGCCCTTCTTGCAGAAGATGGGGTTGTTAAAGTTTTGAATTTAGAGGAGGGTGGAGCATTCACATTTAGTAGCGCAGATGATATGCTCAAGGCTCTTTGATTTACTTGAGGTCGGGTGCTTCCCGTTTTTTGTTATGTGGTTTCGGTACTCTGTCATTGAATTACTTGTGGTTTCGGTACTCTTTGATTTAATAGATGCATCTATCTAAAAAAAAAAAAAAATTAGTTTAATAGATGCCATGCCCTGATTTTTCTTCTTCGGTTTCATTTTAGTTTTCTTGATAGTTTTGGTTTCGTTTCTAATTCATCAACTGCTTGGAATGTCCTCAATTTATCTCTGACATTGCATTTCAGTACAAGCACTTTGGAGCTCTGTTCTCTGTGCTACTGATAAGAGAAGACACTAGTTTCACAGACCATGAGTTCCTAATACTCATTTAAGAGCAGATTCTAATTGATTCCTACTTGTTTACTTTGATTTGATTGGTTCATTTTAACATTATTTTGTATTAAGAAACCATTAACAACCTCTGAAGAAGTTTTGGCTCGCAATGTTAATTTTCTGTAGTTAATAGGTGAAGGTAGGCTGCAAGTGATGCCTTAAGGTCTACTGTCCTTTTCTTCTAGCAGACATCCACTTTCTCACTACCTGGCAGTGCTCTTCAACAACCAATTCACACCATCCCGAGTGAGCAAGTTTAAGGCCTTGTAGCAGAGAAAGAACCTCGGCTCTCAAAGAATTGCCCTCACCAATTGACCTCAAATAGGTCCAGGATATTGCCCAAACCATCTCAAATGGCACCAGACACCCTCCAAGGATCCAAGTTGCCAATGGCGCATTCATTAAAGACCATTTTATGTTCCATTCATTCGGAGGGATCTGTGCTGAGTTATTTGTCTTCTTTGTGGTGCAAAACTTGCTGCAACCTGGTAGCATATGAAAATAGACTCCTTCAAGTTCTTCTCTTGCTGAGATCCAACGAGTCACTTGCACCATCACAAGGTCAATTAAAATATTGGCTTCTTGATTTTTTTTTTTGTTGTAAAAAATTCTTTTATTTCTTTCATTCCAAACATTCCATAGTGTATCTACAAACAAACTTCCCTCTCTTGGAACATGGAAAAGAGAAAATGCCAACTGAATGTGTGGGCAAGTAAAACTTCTCCTGGGCAACTATTATAATGGATTGCAGATGACTTAGTTAAAATTATTTGATAATGCTATCTCCTGCAGTATACTATATACCTTTGTTTCTGCTTGCTCTTGTGATACTTACCACTGAATTGAGTTCGGGTGGGCAAAATTTGGACTGTTCAGTGTTCTGTTAACTTCCCTCAGAAGAATGATGCATACTCTTAAACACCTTAATTTAAGGAAGAAGATAATCTCCCTCTGATTTCTCAGTTACTAGCTTTTGAGGATTCTCAAGATAATCTCCCTCAGAAGAATGATGCATACTCTTTAACTACACCAGTTATAGGCTTGTAGCTAGCATACAGCAAAATGCAGGTTGAACCTCCTCTCTTGTAGTCCACTAATAATGAAGTTGATTCTTTCTTTGACCATTACCTTATCATAGGCACCTATAGTCTTGTTTTCTCCTTATTTAATGTTTCGTTTTTAAGAGGATGGCATTGTTCTGTTTCTGATTCTATCTTGGATTGCTAGCTTTATCCATGAAAACAAGGCAGAACTGGAATTGAGGACCAGGTTTTTGTGTTAGAACTTAGAATTAACAAGCTTAGAAATACAGGGGTTCAGGGACCCATTCCTGTTGAAGCATCGTACATGTCTGATTCTTCATCTGTTTCAGATTCCAAACTTTGTTACCGGACCTTGAAAGGGCCTTTTTCTTGAAGTGCTTTTGAATGTCTTAGGTCATCTCTTATTTCTGAGCTAGCCGAGGAACTTCATTAAGGAAACTCAAGTAAACATTATATTGATTGCAACTGGCTTTTAAGGGAAACGAGCTCCTACTGGTTCCCAATTAATGGTTAACTGCAAGATTTGAGTCAAAGGTTGTTTAGTAAATCCAACCAGGCAGATTTGATTCAACACCAAGTCAGTAAAAGCTCACCGTATTCATGCGTTAAGATACAAAAGATTTGCTTTTGAATGCAAAGAAAGTGTATTGATGCCAGAAAATTTTCAATAGGGTTGAGGAAAAATAACACTAGAGAATTCGGGTAGAAAAGCTTGCAAATCTGAGGAATCCACTAAAGAGATAAGAGAAAAATATATCCTCTTATAATATCAATATATATCCAAAGGATTCCCATGGGATAGATACAGATTCAAGTGWGATGACCCCTCAGTGCACATTTGCCAAATAACTATTGAACTTAAATTCAGACTTAACTAATTCTTCATCATGCACGTAGATACTCTTGTGTCTTACACTGGTTATAGTTTTCTTTTTTCAATTTAATGGGTTTGCTCTGAACCTAGCAGGTTGATGTGATGAATTTTGGCAACTATTGAATTTTTGCTTAAGCACACTAGACTGATATGTTAGAAGATGCAGATTTACAGGTTGTTGGATCGGTTGTTTTTGGCAAGTATAACAATAGGAATTATAATAATGACAGAAGTGAAAGTGTCTTGGAAATTATGACTATTGGAACTGTTCTCTCAGTTTCTGATAAAGATTATAACCATCGCTATCTGCTCAAGAGTCCAAAGCTCCGGTGGCACACTTCAGGTATACTCTGTTATGCCCTTCCCACCTCCCCTGAAGGCAAAATTTCTGGACCAGATATCCTTGCAAGTTGAGAAAGGTGAATTAAATTAAATACTGATTGATCGTATTTAAGATTAACCGGAGCTTGTGTAATTCAAGTTTTAGCACAAGCTGTTTTCTGCAGAGTTCAAATCAGCCCCCCACAACGTCCCACAGCACATCCTCGCTGTGTATTGGGAACATCTTCCGACGATCCTACTGAATTATTCATTTATAAAATGGAAAATTCCATTTTAGTACCCTGAACTTTGGAGGTAGTGTCAAGTTAGTACCGAAAACTTTCAAATATGTCACTGCAGTACTTAAACTTTCAAAAAGTGTCAAGTTGGTCCTTGCCATTGACCGACCGTCAGTTATCTGTTGAAAATGTCAAAATTACCCTTCAAAAGAAGACACTGTTCATTGTCTTATACTGAGACTGAACCGGTTGAGGTGTTTGAGATTCTAGACTAACGAAGTCATTATTTTCTACCTTTAGATCTGAAACACATTCTTGTCTAGTTATATCTTTGTTTTCAGTTATTGTTTCTCTCTGTCATATTTCATGTTTTTTCTCTTTTTTTTCTTTGAAGATAACCGATTCAGTCTCAAGGTAGAAGACAATGAACAATGTCTTATTTGAAGGATAGTTTTGACATTTTCAACAGATAACTGACGGTCAGTTAACGGCAGGGACTAACTTGACACTTTTTGAAAATTTAGATACTACGATGATGCATTTGAAAGGAGTACAAAGACTCGGTTTAGTATTTGTGCATATTTGCATTTGTACTCTTTCCAAACTGAGCCTAATGGACGATTGGATATTAGTGTTAATGGGTCGGGGTCCATACAAACTCGAACTCAGACTTTATTATATCATTGGAAATTGGCTATTGGGATCGGGCCTAGGTGTGACAGAGACCCACTGATCAGAACTAATGTGGTATTTAAAAATTGACAAATGACAATCTTATTAAACAACACACTAAAATCTAAATTTGTTTCATGAAAACGGTTAATTATAAAAGAAAAAAAAATATGCTCTCTTCCAATTCAAGATTCATGTGTTAGATATTCATATACGGGTATGGAGTTGGAGCTGATTTGTAATGGGTCCTAAATTTACAGGCCCAGTTGAGTCCGGTTATGTTTCCATCCATAACCGGTTGAGCCCCAATTTGCTCAGAACTAGGTAATGCCAGGTATGTTGGTGATTGGGGAATCCGGATTTACCCACAGGATCCTCCTCCCTCACACCAAGTTCACATCCAGTGAACCCTTAGGTTCATGGGAAGCGTGTACAGTCCAATGAGAGATGAACACGTTCTCTCATTGGTTTTAACAATGACTTAAGGGAATTTCACTGTTAATGGGGTTCGGCTGGTTAAACCAACCATTAACAGAAAAAAAAACCACCCCAAACCCCATTTTCAATCGTGCATACCAGAACACCGACGACTAACAATAACGGACGTCCGGCGGTAACAATCAATTGGTGGCTGACGGTTTTCTTCTTCTTCTCCCCCTGTGAGATTTCTGACCTGTACGGTGGGGGTCAGATTTCTGAAGTGGACCGAATTATAAAAACCCCTTATTTTTTTAGAATGGTTCTTTCCATAACTGGCGGTACTTTGAACTCCAAATCGGAATGGGCCTCTGAAATGACTGATTGTCCAGATCAAAGGCAACTTCAAATGAATCTATCAAACTTCCAAACGGTAGCTCCATAACCGGCGGTACCCTAAACTCCAAATCAGAATGGGCCTCTAAACTTATAGAAGCCCCAAAAGGTAGCTCCATAACCGGTGGCACCCTGAACTCCCAAAAGGGGTTCCTGTTATTGACAACAATAGAGTATGTCATTTGCTCCTGATCAAACAACTCCAGTGGAAATTGGATATATTCCTCCTGTTTTGTTCGTATTGCCAATGTCATCAGCTGGAAACAAAGAAAAAACAGATATTTGGAAACGAAGAACAGATCAGGAAATACTACAAAAGATTTCCAATTTGGCTTGATTATCAACGGTATGCTAATTTGTAAGTCGAATCAATCTTATTTAGTTACCTGAGATTCAGCTTGAACGACTGGAGACTCACTAGAGGAATGAAACGGTAGAGTTGGTCAAAGGAAAAGAGAGCTAGTCTCAACTTTTTCTTTCAATGAATCCATGACATGTTGGGGTGCCGTTAACGGCAGAACTCAGGGATCGTAGATCCTAACTTGAGATTCCATGGAATTATAGAATCTCATGTAAGTGGAGCTATTATTAGTTGGTTGAGGAGATGATGACGAGACCAATTGCAACAAAGGAGGWAGAATAAAGGTAGGTGTTGCAAGTTTGATGTTTGGTTGTTGGTGTGAATATATCTTTGTTTTTCTCCTTCATAGAAACAGAGGAAGGAATAGACCTTTCTTTCCATCCGCCTTCTTAGGTCTGGTCGCTGGTTTACTGTTGCCGCCCGTTGTCGGGATCTGGTCATCTGTCGGTTGAGGGGTTAGAGTTTGGATGAGAGAGAGAGA